CCCCAAAACCCCAAAACCCCAAAACCCCAAAACCCCTTTAAGCTCAGTTAACATTGAAACAAATATTATGTAATAGCTTGCACAGCTGGTTCTAGTTGTTACTCAAATACTTGACATGTTTTTTATTCTATACATTCTTTTAATCTCTTTCTGAGCAATGGTCTATAAAACTAAAAATACAGGAACTTAGAAAGAAATAAACTTACATAGTTATTAAAGCTAGATGATTCGAATAGAAAATAGAGATGTTTAAAATGAGAATAAACAATTAGCTGACAAAGGAATTGCATCTTAGTATTCATTTGATTTATCTTATTAAAAACCTACTCTGCTTGAACTCCAATAACAAAAGGTTTAGTTATTCCATTTCCTCATCAATTTCTTGCTCAGATTCATATTCATCATCTTCTTCATGATATTGGATATCTTCCTGACTTTGTACACCTCTTAAGTTTTTATTAATAGATTGAGAGCTTTGTATTGGTCTTAAATGAATAGAAATCCAAATCTGCAATGCTTTTTGTTCTTAATGTTCTCCTTAGCAGCATTAGCTCTAGCCATTTCTTCAATTTTTTTATCTTTCAAAGCTATTTTAGTTCTCATCTTGCCTTCTTGGTATTTCATTTTCCTTTGGAACCTCTCCTTATTATTGAACTTTAATTGATTATTTAATTGAATGAACTCTCTTCTTAATATTTCCTTTACACGCTCTTGTTCCTTGAGTTTCTCAAGCCTTTTATCTGCCTCCTTCTGCTTATCTAACCAAATATTAATTTTCTTAGCCATCCTTTCCTCAGTCTGCTTAAGTATTCTATCTTTCTGTTCATTCTATTCTTCAGCTTGCCTTTAGATTTCAAGTAAAGCTTTAACCTTTTCCTTTTTTTTAGCTAAATCTCTCCAATGGTCTTTCTGTTTTTTTATATCTAGCTTAATCTCTTTGCTCCTGTTCTTCCTTAGGTTTAAAATTGCTGAATCTTCATGCGTTTTTCAATAGCCTTTTGCTTAGCTTTCTTCTTCTGTAGTTGGAGTTCTTTAGTCTTCTTCATCTGCTCATTATATTTTTTATTCATCTTCTTCATCCTTCCTTCGCTATCTTCTAGATGCTTCTGTTATTGCTGCTCACATTTCTTGACCTTTCCTAAACGCTATTGCTCTTTAAGTTTGAATTCCTGTTTTATAGCTTTTCTTTCCTTTTCAGCTTTTATATCTTCCAATTTCAAGTCTTTGAGGTTATTTTAGATACTTTTTATGGTTTCCCCTCTCTTTCTTCTCCTTCATGGTTTCCTCCTTCTCTTGCTTGATTTCCTGATCCATTTTATTTTCATTGGATATCTTTAATTGCCTGTTGATTTGATTATTTTTCTCAGTTTCTTGCTTAAGAAGATACTCAAATATAGCTTCCTTTTTTTCTATTAATTAGTTTTGGGGTTATTCTTTATCAGATATTTTTCAAACCTCTTTTGTTCCTTCTCTTTGATTCTTTTAATCAATTTCATTTGTTTTCTAGTGACTTCTTTGTCTTTGTTCATAGCATCTCCGATGAGAGTTGAAGATTTCATTTCTAAATTAGATCGCACTGATTTAGATATTTGAACACTCCTTCCAGAAAGTAACTTGCCATTAGATGTTTGGCACTGAGTAGAGCTAGCCATTGTTGCATGATCATAAGTGCTTCTGTCTAACTTCTCAATAAGTTTATTTCTTCTCAATTTTATTAAATCTATTAATTCCTTTCTTTTATTTTCATGAAATTTATAACATAACTAGGTCACTTTTGATGAGAGTCCAGGCTCTTCGAATTTAGATTAAGGAACATGTAAAAGCTCTTTGATCATAATTCCTTCTAACTTGCATCCCTCTAGGCTTCGAGGAAAATTTATCTTCTCAGTTCCCATCTGATCAAAGTCAGCAATAGATGTTCAACCGTTTTAGAATCTTTGAGCTTCCCTTGCACTTGAGCTAATTCTTCTGTCTCGGGTTCGCTTTGAATCTGAGCTCTATTCCTAATAGGGGGATTTGGAAAACTCTTACAAGTATTCTTCATCACTCATTTTTTTATTTATAAAAGTTATTTTATATTTGCATAAATTAATATCAATCCTTAGCTGTGTCATAGGGGTTTTGGGGTTTTGGGGTTTTGGGGTTTTGGGG